TAAAATTAATGTAATATAGTATTGGCCATACTATATGATGTATTGCTTGTCTTTGTTTAATAATACAGAAGACAAAGACCTTAAAAAATAATCGCATATCGCATCGCAATCGCAATATTGGGGCAAAAAAATCGCAATTAGATTATTTTCCATAATCGTTCAGCCCTAAAATGTACCTATATTCACAGGAGAGAGGAACAGGAGGATGCAGGAGTTTTCCTGCATGAAAATATATATGCACACACCATTAGGAGAGCAACAAATCACATTTAGTCTACCTTAATTAGTGGATCGTAGAGCTGGGCGATAGAACGATAACGATATGTATCGCGATATAACTTTTACTGATAGAGAAATTAAGCTATCGCGATAGACTTCGCCGCACTTGTCCTCTTAAAATAAAATAAAAAATAAAGAAAAGGTCAGCCAATCCAAACTAAGTAGCGCAGAGCCGAACCAATCACAGCCGCAGCGTCACGTCGCGTGACTTGTTACGTACAGCACAAGTGCCAAGCCGCACGTGTGTTTGTTTGGGAAGCAGGCAGTGGGTAATAATAATAATAATGATAATAATGGATTGGATTTATATAGCGCTTTTCAAGGCACCCAAAGCGCTTTACAATGCCACTATTCATTCACTCTCACATTCATACACTGGTGGAGGCAAGCTACGGTTGTAGCCACAGCTGCCCTGGGTAATGGAGCCAGCGCGTAATGGAGGAAATGAGTGTGCCGACTAGAAAAATCTACCGAGCGTGACCGAAGAGAAAACAGATGACGGTTCCAATGCCGGAGAGATTGTCGAAGGGAAGAGCCATAGAAGTTCCGTAGTGTGAAGGTATTTCGGCTATTTCAAGTCTGACAAAAAACAGAGTAGCGTGCACTGTAAATTGTGCCGAAAGCAAGTCTGGAAATACAATAAACTGGTGCATGCGTCACACTGCGCCACGTTATTGTTTCGGTGAAATGAATTTCTACAATACTGTTAATTCTACTCTGCAGTGTTTAAATGCTTACATATACACACAGTTACTGTCCCTCCACACATACGACTCGGGTCTGCTTCTATGCCCCAGCTTTGTTTACTTTTTCCCACCGAGGCTTCTAGACTTCTGATTGGCCAACATTTCTGCACGGTTAGGAATCTAGCGCCACCTGCTGCTTTGGCATGTTCATAGCAGCGTTTTCCTTCATTTCTGCCTTTATGTGTGTACGGGATTATTTTTTAAAACGAAAACGGAAAATCTCCGTTTTCAAAAACACCCGTGTACGTGTGGACGTAGCCTCAGTCTCTGACTGGAAGCGCTAATTCGTCATTTGGCTGTTGTCAGACTAAAGTAACTGTTAAAACTGTTTGAAAAGCTCAGCTATACTACAAGGAGAGATTGAGAATTTCCTTTTAGTTCTCAGTTTATTTGATATTGACAAAAGTTAGTTTTGTCTGTTCTTCTGTAAAACAAACTAAGATTTATTTTTAGAATTAATATTTTGTTTCTAAGTGGAATTGACAATTTAGTCTGTTTTTGTTTGTTCTGTTTTGAAACTTAAACGCTTTAGCGGCTGCCTTTTGTGTAGTTTGCAATATTTGCCTTTATTTATCTGAAAAAGTCTCATGTTCCTTAAGTACATCTACCCTGTTGAACTTATTATGGGAAATAAATATTTAAATAAAAACAAGCTGCTGATTATTTCACATTTTACTTGTGAGCAACGGCACATTTAAATCTTACAAATATAGTTATTTGGCTTATATCGTGATAGATATCGTTATCGCCTGAAATGAAAAAAACATATCGTGATATGAAAAAATCTCATATCGCCCAGCTCTAGTGGATCGATATCAACAGGACAGGCAAATGTTTTTAAAAAAGTAGAAAAGAACCAGAAGATAATAACACGACTTGTTAACTTCTTTAAAGTTTTTGTTCTCATACTTTTATACAGTTTTTTGTTTTGTTTTTTTTAATGCTGCCTGGCTCAAACGACAGTCATTTGTGAGTTTCAACATGGGGTTATTTACCCCATGTTAGAAGACATCCTGTTATTATGGAAATTTGTTAGGAAATGTTGGATCACGTTATTGGCAAACAAAGAAAACAACCAAGGATACTGCTTAAACTACTAAAAGTGGGTTAAAACCTGTGCAACGCTTTGTTAAAAACTGGAAGGATAGTGGTGAACCACCATCTTGGAGAAAGAAGTGTGGTTGGAATAAATCCTGAATGTTTGAAGATCAATGGGGGGAAAAACAGCAGTGGAATAGACAGCTATGTTTTAATAGTGAAAGTAAAAGCATTTTCCCACAATGCAAAGAGAACTCAAGGAGTTATAACTGAACAGCTGTGTAGCCTTAAAATAACTACTCAGTAGTAATGCTAATTAGTAGGGCTGCAACTAAAGATTATTTTGGTAGTTGACTAATCTGCCAATTTCTTTAATTAGTCAATTAGACAATGATTATAACTCTTATCTCCACTAAACTAAACTAAAATTGGCTTCAGTCTATATGTTCAAATAAAGCTTCGAATTAAATTAAAAAGTTTGTTTTCCAGTCCAAAAAAACAGTTTCCCAAGTTTACAGATGATTCGGTTCATGAATTCATGATTGCAGTGGACATGCTCTGGAGTGAGGCTTGCTCTTGTTTTTGAGATGATGATCTCAGCTGCAGCTGATACCATGCGGCCATTTGAGAGGTGCACGAGCCTCTTTTAAGGACAAACTCGTCTATACGCCTGTGCTTAATACTAGTAAAACAGAATTAGAAAAGACTGCTATGTCATAGTTTCTCAGATGGTGTAGTACTCAATGCCAATGAACCTGGTAGGAAGACATGTGGATGAAGTGATGCACCGATCAAGACTAGTGCCTACATTACAAGCTTGTGGATTTGGGATTTAGGTCCAGAGTCAGCTGACTACCTGAATCTATTGAATGACTAAATTTGTTTTCATCAGCAGATTTTGTTTTTTCATCTCTCTGATAGTACAGCATATTCTGAGATGACAATGCCAGTATTCATGAGGCTCAAATTGTGAAAGAGTGGTTCAGGCAGCGTGACACATCATTTTCACACTCATCCACATCTTAACCCGAGTGAGAATCTTTGGGATATGCTGGGGAAGACTTCACACAGCGGTCCGACTCTCTCATCATCCATACAAGTTAAAAAAATGAATCCAACTCAGGACAAAACTAAATGTTGCATTACTTAACCCGATCGAAATGATATCACAGTAAATATGTGTCGTTATAAAAGCTAAAAGTTGCCCAATTCATTTTTAGACTATGACTTTTTCCTGCAAACGATATTGTTGTTTTCCCACCTGCATAATTATTTCCTCTCCTCTCAACAGATGATTCAGAATTTCCAAGATGAAGTTTGTTTTGTTTTGGACACAATGAAAGGTATGACTATGGCAGCAAAAAATGATAGTGTGGTAGTGGTAGTGTAACGGTATTTAGCGTTATAGTCTTGCTGCAAGTTTATCTTAGTATGTTTCCCTGATATTTTTTATTTTTATTTTGATTCCTATTCCTTTCTTTTTCAGATGACACAAGTGACGGCTACCATATAATCTTAAAGTGAATCCCAGGCAGGAGAGTTGTCGAGTCCTTCTCTCTTGTTTAGTCCTGGTTCAGTCAGCCCCTCTAGAGCTCTAGAGCTTTGTACTTTTTGCTGTTCCTTTATGGAGATGCACCCCCCCCCAAAAAAAACAAACAAACAACAACCCCAAAACAAAAACCTTGTGAGGCAGCTAGGAGGAAGATGCGACTGAAGCAGTTGCCCCTCTTTTAACTTTACCTTATCGTCTGACTTTTGAGGGAGTGACTCTGATTCCACAGTGAAGTCTTACCCTGCCGTTTGCTCACTTAAATGGTTGCATTTCCCTCTGTTGGTTACATCTCAAGAAGGAGGTTAATGGCACTACATCTGCTGTTGTTTGTTACCTGACCATCTGGCGTGCCAAGACTCTTTGCTTCGAGTTCAGCCGTTTGTTCTCTCTTTAAAAAAAACAAAAGAAATGATGACTGTTAAGATGACAGTACTTGACTTTCAGCCTGCAATTCAGCATGAGTCCTCCTCTTCATGCGCGGTTGCCTTATCGAATCCAAGCCAGTCTGCAAGAAACACAACCACTCAGTTGAATCATAGTACAACAGGTATTAAAATTAACAACTGGACAATTAAGGGAAACCGTTAGAATCCAGCTGCCCTTCCAAATATCCGAGGTTCCTTTGAAAGCTAACAATGTCTGCCTGTTACTTCTGTGGAAAAAAAGGCTACTAAACACTGTTAGATTGTCACAGTTTGTTTAGAATGCTTACTGACACATGTGATTGTTACTTAATCGTCTTAAAAGATGATAAGCGCTGTCTATGTTAGTGATCTCCATGGTAACACCAGCAAATTGTCTCCATCTGCTTCCTGTATCTATGAGCTTGTTTAGCACACCGGCGTTTTATTGTTTGTTTTTTGGTCATTTCCATCATCATTTTGAAATAGATCATTGTTTTAAAATAATTTAAAAATAATGAATCATGTTTTTTTTGACATTTAAAAAAATTATTTTTTACGTACTTACATCTACTCTGCTTCCTTTTTTTGGATGTTACAAATGCTAATAAATAAGTTTTGCGGCAGGACAGAGCTTAATGTGAATAATATGGTTTATGTTGAGTATTTTGTAAATGGAATTGATGGCTCGATAGCCGTATTTGCCCTTCATCTCATTGGCATTATTAAAACTTAACCATGTACTGGCTGCTATTTGCTGTCTTTCTTTAAAAATATGAAATAGTGTTAAACTAAATGTTTTGAAGCTTTCCTAAAACAGGGGACATGATATTTTATTGGCACTATCTAGCACAGCCTCCACATCTGTCCCTTTGGTGTACAGATGTGGATGCCTAGTCACTTACATTTGACTAGACTTTAGCATGTCATATACTGTTAACCAAATTAAGCTTAAATGCAGGTTAATTTAGCGCACTACGGTTTCGTGCTTTGCACATCTGCTTCTGCACAATATGAACAAAGAAACAGGAAAAAAACTGAATAGATACTTCATTTCCCAGCATACCCCGGCGCAGGACATGCCCGTGATGTCACAATAAGTATATATACAGCTACAGGGAAGAATTTCTACCTCCATTGTTACATTGTAACAAACGGGGCCGGGGCGAAGCGGGGAGAAAGGCGTCTTCTCGCTAGAAAACCTGCAAGATTTTGACACCAAACGATAAAGAGCAGAGCGCACCGTTATTGCGAGAAGACGGCGAAGTAAGCCCAGACGACTGAACCCGCCCCGGCGAGAAGAAAAGGATAAACGAACACAGATGTCAGCGGATTTCTCCATTACACCCATTTAAAGGCTTACATCAGGAAGACAAGACACTGAGGGTCTTACATTATTCATGCTGCACCGAAAAATGTTGGAGAATAAAGCGCAGCTAACCCTATGACGCCCCTTCTTCCTATCGTCTGTCCTTTAAATAGATAGGAATGCATCATTTAAATAAAACCCGCCGGTCTTGCACAGCTCCCGTTTTCTTCGTCATCTTTCAGTGTGCAGAACAATGAGCATGAAGCCTAAGTAGCCTGAAATAGCCAAATATAAGTGTTGCAAATTGACAATCACGCAAGCTTTCATCCAGATTACTTCGGCTCCACGGTTGCAGTCTGGATACTCGTTCAGGGATCTCGGTTTTGGCATAAAAGAGCGTCTCATAGGGCGTTGAAAGATTGATGTGCAGCTCCTATTGGAAACAGAAACGACCTACGAGTTGGTTGGAATAAGGGTCCCTGTTTCTGCCCCAGGTAAGTGGGTTTAGTGTTTCATTAACCGGGCGGTTTGCCATTATGTCTCTGTGTGGCTCTTTTTCTCTCTCTGTGTGTGTGAAATGGAAAGAGAGAGAGACAGATAGAGAGCCTTGCCTTGTCAGACTGGCAATATCTAACCTCCCCCAACACAGTCAGTCTGTATGTCCACATTTAAACAAATAGCTCCTCTAAACTGCGTGTCCCTGACGGGTAATATACCGTGAAGTCACACCTGTCGGTAAACATCCTGTAACATGTCAAAGGCAAACTTAAGTCCTGAAAGAAAAGCCTTAAATTCCTAAACTGAAATAAACATTTAATGTCAGATGTGTTACTCTGGTTTTTAAAAAAGGGCACACATTTGGTGTCATAACCACAGCTGCATCTTTACAGGTTAGGCCCTGTCCCTTACAGCCTGTCAAGGTGGGTAATTTTGTTGAAATTAGGTCAAGGTATTAGTCTTTAATGGTCATAATTATTATTAGGACATAGATTAGATAATTTTGGACTTTCCCCCCCTCAGAAGTAGTTCCAGGAAAGATCACTTAGACTGCATTTGAGCAGCTTTTTGGTATCAGCACATCCCTTTTCTCTTTTTAGCTGAAGGACAAATTTAATTGTGTAGTTATTACATAAATTATGCTATAAATGTACGTGTCAGTTTGAACATTCTCCTGCAAGCACTTAAAAAAAAACTGAATGAAAAACTACAGAATGGGAGTTGCTCCATTTGGTATGACATTACAATATGTTGCAGGCAGTAGGATGCTGCATAGTAAAATATGAATTACCTTGAGAAGTAGCTGGTTCACACTATAGGATGTATGGTAGTAATATGGTAGGTTTAAGGTAGATGGATATAGTGTCTCTATGGGACATAATCATCGGTGTTAATATTGATGTATAATTATTTGGAATGTATCTGTGTGAATGCAGATGCCTGTGTAATGCACAGGACATAACACAGTGTAACATCAGACATGTATTTAGCTGCTTTCATTCACCTTGTTTGACCTCTCCTACAGATGCAAGTGATCAGCTCCCTCCTTCAAATTCACCCATATCCATCCCTCCCCCTACACTCAGTTTATAGCAGATTTTCTTTAGGGGTAAAAACAGATTGTGAAGCCACAGACATTATTTGCTTCAAGGCTGCTTGCATAAACTGTGCTTGCCTAGTTGCCATGGTTACATTTTCAGACTTGATAATTTCAAAGTCGGATTTCATGTGAGATGGGAGCCACACAGACGAAATGATGGAGCTGGAATACAGATGAAAGGAGGCAGGAGCGAGCAGATGTCACCTTTTTGTTCTGTTTGTGTTGTCAAGGGCTGACCTTACACAGGAACAGTTTGATAAAAAAAATTAGCTCATTCTCTAAGTGACAACACGAGCATTTTGTTTCTGTGGTAGTAAATCACAATGTGTCATGTGTTCACATCTTTTGAAACACATTTACTGGTGCCGGGTATGTTTTTTTGTGCTCCTCTGTGCCCCCAGATACTTAAGTTTCCATGGAGGCAGGTTCGTCCCTCAGCCTCAAACGAAGATATGAAGAGGTGGACAACAGCTCTCCATTCTCTACACCTAAGGACTCTGACGATGACATCTCCAGCAGTGACAGTGCTGACAGCTGTGATAGCCTCAACCCTCCCTCTAGCACTGCATTTACCCGTAAGAATCTCATTAAAGGAAGTCGAAAGAAACTGAACAGTTAATCAACGCAAGTATTTAGTATTTGGTGTGTAAGACTGTATTGAAAATCTTTCTCCCTTTTTCCCCGCTTTAGCCACCTCTATCCTCAGGCAGCACAAGCCGTCACCAGGGGGGAAACGTGTACGTTTTGATTTGGTGACGGTGTATTACTTCCCCCGGCGGCAGGGCTTCACCAGCGTGCCCAGCCAAGGGGGCAGCTCCCTGGGTATGGCCCGTCACCACTCCTCCATCAGACACTACACACTGGGGGAGTTTGCACGCGAACAGGAAACCAGTCACCGGCACACTTTGCAACAGCACCTGCGCCAGGAGAAGCTGAATGCCCGCAAGATGAAGGTAGATTAGATGTATCAGTCGTGCCCCAAGAGGGTCAAAATTCAAGGCACAGTAGTATCTTCCAGCTGTGGGCACTTTGCATGTCTCCACTTGCAGTAGTGACTCAGTACATGTACTTCCGCTCTGTCCTTCAAGACTTTACAAAACTTTCTGCTTTGTGACCCCGCACAAAAACAGTCGAGCTGGGGCCCCTTTCCACAGTTCCCATGCCTGTGAGTTGCTAGGTGTCCTGCTGAAGACTAATTACCCCCATTAAACTCCTGAAACAATTTTACTTCAATAACTGTTTGAGGCCACTGATGTTTCAAACAAATTCACACAGATTAAAGAGCGATACAAAAGATGCATATGTGTTTATTTAGTGAAACTTAGTTTTTTCTTCTTTCCTCCCCCACAAATCAAGTCATAATCCCCTCAGATTTATCTTGTGACCCATTGGAGGGCTCCGGCCTCCAGGCTGGGAACCAGTGAACCAAACTACCAAAATAGAAAGTATTTAAAAGGAGTTCAGTTTGGACCAGCTGTAAAATGACGCTTACATACAAGCTAATGTGTATGTAACACTTAACCAATGTAATACAGCAAGTAGTTACTAATTTTCTCATGATAGCTTATTTTCATTAAATCATATCTGGGTTTGTGTCCTTTAATTTATGCAGGAGTTTTAGTTTTTTGAGGCCTTTTCTTAAATAAAGATCGCAGTACTTCCTTCACCATTCTCCGTTTGAAAACCCTTTGTTCAAAATGCTAAATCAGCTGCAAATATAATTGTTTTTGAAGTATCACTCTTCAGGATACTTATCTACCACTTGAGCTTAAAATAGGCAATCAGTTCCTTTTTCACCTCAGCTCACAGTTCCACGCTGTCGTCCACAGCTGACAAGGAACGGCACGGTGGAGTGCGCTCAGGCGGAGCTGCTGACTCTGGACGATGTGTCGGATGAGGACGTGGACGGCGTGGAAGTGGACGACTGTTTCTTCCTTCAGCCGCTGCCCACCAAACGGCGTCGAGCCCTCCTGCGAGCCTCCGGCATCACCCGCATCGATGCGCGTGAGAAAGCTGAGCTCCGAGCTATCCGCCTCTCTCGGGAGGAATGCGGCTGCGACTGCCGTTTGTACTGTGACCCTCGCCATTGTGGCTGCAGCCAGGCTGGTATTAAGTGCCAGGTAAGAGCTGTTGAAAGCGAGTTGGGTGCATTTGCAGAAAGAGGAGAGCTTCTTTGCAGTTTGCTGAGACTAAAAACTTCAAAAACACATTTGCAGTATTTGAATTGTCTTTTATTTGAATTGAACTCTTGAATTAAACTGTGAGTGACATTTTGCTGCTTGTACGCTAAGAGGGAAGTTTCACTGCAAATCAAGCCAAAGTTGCTCTGAGTGATCCTGAAACATTTCTATCCTGAGAGAAGTGGTCTCCTCCATGATTACAATGGCCCCCTTTGAGTTCAATTACACGCTGTTGCCATTACAGCCTACAGATCTCAACCCAGCTGAAGACCTGTGGGACATTTTGGTCAGATGTGTTGCAGAGCATCACCACCATCATCATCATTATGACCCCAAATGAGGGAATATCTTTTTGAAGAATGGTGTTCATCCCCTCAGGAGAGTTCAGTAGCACTGATGCATGTAGATGCCCAACAATTGACTAAAACAGTTTATGCTGGTTTTCAGTGTTTCTCCCCTAAGATAAAATAAATAACAATAAATACAAAATATTTGGTTGTTCCGTAACAGTGTCTCCCCTCATTTACGGCCACGCTAGTTCCTGTCATCCTGTTTCTCTGCCGGCAGACTTCAGCCTATGTCTGTCAGAGAAAAAACATGTAGCGCAGTAGCAGAAGAGAAGATTGTGACAACTTGTTAGCCTGCAGCGCACACTTCCCCACAAAAAAGCCAAAGACAGGGCGTCAGATGACTTCAACCTCCTTTCCTTTCAATTTGTTTTTCACTCACTTGTAGGTGTTTTGACATTTCACAGGGGGAGGGAAGCGCATTAGTAAATAAATAATAGAAACGAATGATGACTGACTCCTGTTTTGTTGCTTCTGTTTAAGTGTGCTGGTTTCGTGGAAGGCTCGCTGTCACATTGTCATGGCGTTCTGGGGCTCTCCAGTATAACAGAGCCATTGTTAATATTATTAATAACACTGGTGCTCTCCCTACGATAGCTTAAAATGTCTGCTATGAAAAAAGCCTATTCATCTGATTTTATGTGGGGGTTTTTTCTCTCTCTTTTCTCGGCTAAGGCGAGTGCTGAGGCGAAGAGATGTGATCAGAGCTGGGGTTTTTTCTTAAATCTTCTCTTCTTTTTAGCACGATCATGAAAAAAACAACCAAAAAACAAAATACAAAGCCAGTTTCTAGCACTTTTCATGAAATCTGGTGGTTAGATGGAACACGGGGAAAGGAAGGTCCCCTTTAATTGGGGAGCAGATATATGTCAGCTAAATAAACCAGTTCAGTGATTCTAATAAGAATATCTTTATTCTTTGGTCATTTTTAAGCAGCAAGTTAAACAGTGTGAATGCATAGGCAAGCTGTGTTGAGCAACTTTGTTAAAGTTTTGAGAATTTACTCACTTGATGTGTTTTATAGAGGCAGATGCTTTATTCTGCTTGCTCTGTTATCTCTTTCCTCACTATTACAATGCTGTTATCTGATCCAGAACCGGCTGCACGCTTTTATTGATCAGTGCAGTGAAATCAGAATTCATAAAACATCGGAATGAAGCAGTAAATCAGACATTGTGTTATCATTTATTTATACACCTGGTGTATAAATAATAACCTGAATCTTTTGTCTCATTTGCTTATATTTTTACCTGTTAGGAGGAAGTACATCTCTGTCTCAGCCTGACTTGTTGCACAGTAACCAGATTATCTCTTGATTGCCATGATTTCCTAGATTTTCCTAGATCTCCTGAACAACCGTAAACACTTTCATAACTTATGTAAATTTAATCAGTATTTAAGCATTTTACTTTCAAGATGAAATGAGAGTAAACTACCTCTGCCTTATTCTTCAGGTGGATCGAATGTCTTTCCCGTGTGGCTGCTCTAGGGATGGCTGCGGCAACGTAGCAGGTCGTATTGAATTCAACCCTCTACGTGTCAGAACTCACTACCTGCACACCATCATGAAGCTGGACGTGGAGAAGAGGAGGATGCTCATACAAGGAATGGGAGACCAGTATGCTGAATCAGACCCGCTGTCTTCCCCCTCCTCCACGTGTCCCACTTCACCGGACCTTTCTTCAGTCGCTGGCCTGGACTCTGAGCTGGAGGAGAGCGAAGTGCAGTCGGTCGTGGAGGTTCAGGATCTTCTGGCGGAGCAGGATATACTGGAGAGGGAGAACGAGACAGCTGTGCTGCACCTGCAGAGCGCAGAGGAGCAGGAGAGGAGGGAGAGGGAGGAGGCTGAAGGGGAAGCAGTGCAGCCAGAGCTGAGTGCTGATGGGCTCACAGAGCAGCCTCTTTGCCTCCTACCCAGTGCCTTGGGAGGGGAGCTGCCTGAGCAGGCAGAAGTTCCAGGTGTTGAGCAGGTCCTCCTGCAGGGGCCTTTCCCTACAGGGGCTACGGTCTTGTGCATCACTGACAACCAGGAGGAGAGCCCCTCTGACCTCCTCAAAGACTCCTCTTCCCTGCTCTACTATCAACTCAGTCCCATAGAGCCTGGAGCCTTTGAGACGCTGCCCAGAACAGAGGAAGCTGAACAGGAGGAGCCTTTGGTGAGGGAACAAGATGCAAGAGAAGATGAGTTTGCGGAAAGGAAACAAGAAGGAGGAGAGGAGCTGAAGGAAGATAAGCATGAAGACAAGCCTTTGACCGATGTTATTCTGTGCTCAGAGGAATGCCTGGCAGCAGTGGAGGAGAGGCCTGCGAGTCCTCAGCAGAAGATCCCGGAAGAACAGTGCCAAGAGCAGTCGTGCATGAAGAAAGAAGTAGATCCACTGCCTCCTGAAGTTTAGTACTAGCGTCTCTGCAGATAATTTGCACAATAGCTTCATCTAAGATGAGTAAATTACACATTTTACATGTATTACTGCTATTATCATAAATAACTACAGGTCTCCTATAGTGAGTGTCAATAAAATATGTGAAGAATGAGCTTGAGTGTTACACAAAGGAGGAGAGATGCTGAAAGCACATACAGATCACTCCCCAGAAGTAATATGGATGCAGTTCAAAGACAACATTGTAGGTAATTCTGTTGGGGGTGATGAATGCGGCCTTAATGGAAAAAAACACGGAAACACTTGTGCGTAGGAGTCGATTAGGAGTACAGCGAGTAGTGTTTTGTTCATTTCCAGCGCAGCAAACAGAAAATACAGTGTGTGAATGCTGACATAAGCCTTTTGTTTTGTGATGTATAAAGGTGTCAACACTAAACACAAATTGTTTTTTCAGCGCGCAGGAAGCTGGTGTATTTTGATACTTTACCGGCTCACTTTCCATTACAGCAATCTCACACTGTAATCAAGCCAAATGAAGGCCTCCGATCCAACCTTCCCCTGAAAATAGACCTAATAATCCTGGAAATACTTGTTTTTGTGTACTGTATATGCATTTGCAATGTGCAGGACAGAGATGAAGTTTCTTTGATCTGTATGCACATTGCGAAATGAGGGCAGCAAACGTCGTGGCTCTGTCGCATTGAGAGGAGGAGGAAAAATAATTTTAAAAAAGAGCAGAAATTAGCACTGGCTGTAGTTGTTACTCACTTCGGACTGCTCGTACAAATGCAGTCGATTTGTCAAACAAAAAAAAAAAGTTTACTTGTAGTTGCAATGCCTATGACATTATTTCTTCGAGTAATGTGTCATTTGTGGATACTATACTATTGGTTTTGAAGTTGAAGTCGTTGCAGTTCGTTTTCTTTGGGAATGAAAGGAAATGTAATTTCTTTTCATACTGCTACATTATAATGTCATGTTATGATGAGTTGCCAGAATAGCGCTTCCTAGTCTTTTTTTAATTGATGTTCTATAAGAAAGCGAGGATTTTGAATCAAGTCAAATTTCCCAAGAAGAAAACAGCAGTAAGAGTCAAAGTCAAACTGAGGCCTGTGCTGTTGGAAGTAGTTATTATATGAAACAATGTGATGCTAGTAATTTATGGATCAGATTGACATCGACCTGAATCTGCGTGTTTTATGTTCCGTCTGTATGTGTGCGAGTGTGTGTACATCTACTTTACATTTGTACGTCTGAGTGAGGGAGGAGGGTATGTACTGTATTAGAGATTGGGAGGTGCTGGCAAGGACACGCATTTCATTCATGACAGGTGCTGATGTTACAGATTTACAGTTTACAGGATCTCCTCCCCATTACCACGAGAAACAATGTTTCTCCACTTGATTGATGTAAGAAGTACCAGAGAGCCTCTCGTAGGAATGCAATAGCTACTGCACTGCAAAAATCATTAATGTGGTGATTATGGAATGAGGTGTCTCATGATTATGTAAATGCAATCGTACCGCATTTCTGCTCTTTCAGTGTCTTTTTTTCTAATCTCGGTCTGATTAGTACTGATCTGCGTAAGCGTGCCGACTCTTCTTACACAAAATCAGTCCTTTGTTTTGTTGCCTATAATTACAGCTGTTGCTTTGTGTAACTGCTTGCCAAACACAGGATGTGCTGCCGTGTATCAGATGTCTGATGTGTTTCTTTGCCTTTTTTGTTTTGAAATTGTCTTAATCTAAATCTGCTTACAAGTTGCACCAAAGCAGTGGTTTCAAACCTAATTAAATGATGCTTTCATCCATCAGATTCTAACAAAGCAGTCTCCTCTAGTTATTGTGAGGCTGCAGATTTATTGTGGCTCTTTGTGTTTGCGTGACTTGCCTTGATATAGTACCATCTTTGAAGTGATGATGATTACAAGCTGCCTATTGTTGAGCTTTTGTCCTCGGCTTTCTACTAATAAACTTAGGTTTGGGACCACTGCACTGAATTAACTCCAGTACACTATGTGATTGTGTGTTTTCTCTGCGTGAATGGGGTGTGTGATTGTTGAGAAGACTGATAAGTTTAGACTTCATCTAACAGCTGTGAGAACTACTCTCATGCTAACTGTTGCCTAAAGTGGACACAAAAGATTTTATACAAAAGTAAAAACAATAAATTACTCATTGCAAAAAGGATCAATGTTTCTGTGTGTTTTTTAATAAAGAATAATAAGTCTCCTATCATTCCTGAGTATTTGTAATCGCAGTAATTCAGACAGATTATGTAGAATCGATTAGTATAAAAATATTACACAATGAAAGGTTTGATATTATCAGCACGCAATTATGTATCAATTTAGTTCACAAAAATACATTTTTACTTATTTTTTTAAATACTTAATTTTTGTTGCATGCACATAAAACACAGACATGACTGTAAAAACAGAAATACACAACTAAGTATATCACATTTTTCTTAATAGTTTGCACTGAAACAATCTACAGTTCAATGAAACACAGTTCATTCATTGTTTTGCAATGCAAAATTGAGTGATTTCATTATTAGTGCCTATTTTAAATTTTTTGCCTTTACCATTGTTATATTTTTAGAAAAATGACTGAAGAATGCGTGAAAATAGCAGGTAATATGTCGTAATATGTATTATTGAAAATGAAGTAGAAGTGGAAAACGAAAAGCCTTTCTTCTCATTTAGTTAAGTGTTAGGACTTATGGGTGTCCACGGTGCAATATGATGTGTCACCGCTAGATGGCGGCATAAAATCAGTACAGTATCTGTGATACGGCTTCCATTCTCTGCAGTTACCGTTAAGAAATCTAAGGCGCCACATGTTAACTATGGCTCCGAATTGTAGTTTTAATCGACTTAACAGATATTTAAAAAATTAATATGTATAATAAGTATGCCAGCTAGGTTAACGGGTTTCCTCTTTTACAATCATTATTATTGTTATTTTTTATTTTAAATGTCATTGATACGGGTTTAAGTATTCAAACTGACCATTTCAGCATTGCCCTGCCTATGCCTCTTGACGTTTTCTTACATTTACAGTTCAGTGGATGTTCCAGCCAATTGTGGAACAAAAAATATTTGCCCTTTCCTATCTTTAGTTGCAGGAAAATGTGAGCTAGATAAGCTATGTTTTCCATTGGCTGCTAATATAATAAGCTCTTCTAACGGATACAAGTGTAAGCAAGTGTACAGCTCTGAGGTCTTTGCTCTGGGATCCAGGATGCCACTGCACTTACATTCACTATCTGGCAAACAGCTCTGCAAGCCAGTCACTGGTAACTCTGGTGCAGACAGAAATCATACAGTGACTGTGTGAGTCTTTCAAAGATTGCTATAATGTAATTATATATCAAACAGCTCCATTTTTAGACATGAACTTCATTTTCAAGTTGAGTTTACTCCTCAGCTTGTGAAAACAGCAGGTCTACAAGAGGTGTGTCCAGTCTATGAAAATAACCCTAACTTCCAAGACTAACATTATGTGACCATAGTGATAAAACTTTAAAACATAGCCTGTAATTAAATGTGCACGTCTGCAGCAAGATATTACTTATAATTACTTATGAAGTAATTATAAGTAGTGCTAAATTAAATCGTGATTCTAAATCAGCTATTGCTGTGAATGTGAGCGAGAATGCTTGTCTGTCTGTGTGTTGGCCCTGAAATAGACTGGCAGCATGTCCAGGGTTAAACCTCAGTTTTACCCTATGCCTGGTGCCCCTGTGACCCTGGAATGAATAATCAGTTCAGAAAATGGACAGATTTACAAAGTTACTGTTAATATTTGTATTTCTTTTTCATTATTTTGGCCACAACTGTGAGCAGGCAACTTGAATAGCTGGATGCATAAAAGAGAACCTGCTGAGCCTTTATTTAATGTGGGCTGGAACTGATATGAAGTGATTTGCTGAGGTCTGCTAGAATCAGTGGTATGCTCAATTTATCTGAAATAAATTCCCCTCTTTTTGTGCTTGTCACTGTGTGCTTGTGTTTTTATGTGTAGAATCCAGGATTGAGACTAAAACAACAAGCATATTACATCGGGAACAATTGTGGCAGTGGTCCATGGCTCTGAGAGCTATACATCATCTGTTTAGCCTTTCCGGCCTCTGGCTTTGCATTGTTGAACTTCTCCAGTGGCCGGAAGAACTGATAGCTTTCAGGATGATGATGGAGTCCATCATGAGCCTGTGGAAAGACGTAAAGAAAACAGTTAAAAAAACATTGTAATCAGAGAGAATCACTCCCACAGTCATCTCAGAGCGTGTTGACATATGTGCTAAATCGCCAGCTTTATCTAGGCTTTAATTTTACTGTTGTGACTGGACAGATCCATGAAGAGCAGCTGGGTGTTATGAGTGATGTATGTGACATGGAAAATTGCCACACCATCTCACTCCAGCCTCCCAGTCTGAAAGTGCTGCTCCAGCGCCTGGAAAGAATGCTCTCTGTCCCCCCCACCCCCCGTCTGTGACGCCAGCGCTATGGCATCATTAGTCCTTCACCGAAACCGGTCCGTTTTAAATGGAACTATTCATAAAACTGGCTCATGTTATTTTCACTAGTCTGCCCCGCTCGTCACATGCTGGCTGAACTGAAGAGGGAAATCCAGACCCTCTTGTGCAAAGTTCATTCTGTGCACTCGGGAGAGAAGATCGCAATAACCTTCTGAATGCAGGAAGAAGGAAACAATGGGGGCAGTGAAGGTAAAAACAATACTGTGGCTGCTCAAACTTTCCCTCTTTGCCCACTGGTGAAAATACAATATATCTTCCTGAAGTTCCATCCATTCGCGTCCGCTTATGTCATAGGGCGAGAGGCGGGGTACACCCTGGACAGGTCGCCAATCTGTCGCAGGGCCAACACACAGAGCCAGACAACCATTTGCACTCACATTCACACCTATTGGCAATTTGGATTAACCAATTAACCTATCCCCACTAAGTGCATGTCTTTGGACAGTGGGAGGAAGCCGGAGCGCCCGGAGAGAACCCACGCAAACATGGGGAGAACATGCAAACTCCACACAGAAAGACCCTGGCCTGATGGTGGAATTGAACTCAGGACCTTCTTCTTCTTCCTGTGTGGCAACAGTGCTAACCACCGTTCCACCGTGCTGCCCCATCTTCCCGAACTTGTCGCGCATTTTATGCTGATGTGTTAGAAACTCCAGTCTCTATACTTACCATTATACATATATTTATATATTTTGTTAAGCTCTTATTAAACGTAAGTTTGCCTAAAGGTAACAAAATCCCCCCAAAAGCAAGGAATCTGAAAACTCCTGGGACATATAGCAACAACTTCAATTTTTAAACACCTTATTTTTTTTTAAACTTAAAGGTACTGCTGAAAGGTACTGATAGCTGATATGTTACTTTTGCAGGAACCAGAGAGTAATCCTGTTTTTCTGATACGATGCCAACACAACAATAAATGAAAGATAATAAATGATACATTTGTATTGTCACCTTTTAAATTTAGCAAGGCAGTTGACATGCAGTTAGAAATAACAAAAATAAAAATGTATACATTACTTTATAATTCTGTTGTTCTTTTTGTAAAAAGATTGTGTTTTAATAATTTCTGGTAATTGACTTTGTCGTACTGGAAAAAAAACACAGCAGCCCAAAGCTCTGGGTATGGGATGGCACTGACAGAACTAGCAGATAAAAACAAAACAATGCAAGTCGACGAAAGCCAAACGACTCTCACCAGAACCAGAAAAACAGCTGTGGACACACAGCTGTGTGAAATATGGTTTGTCTTGCACTGACTGCTGGTCCCCAAGGACATGTTCGTCATAGCTATCCAACTTCCCTAACAACAGCCCTAAAACACCACAAATTGTGGAAGTAAGTTAAAAAAATAGCAGCATGTAGTTTCAGTCTTGTGCATGTTTCCCTTTGTTTTTTCTTAAATGTTCCATGTTCTTCCTTCCTTTCAGTCTTATAATAAAAACCATCCCATTAGCTAAGCACCTGGCGGCATGCCCAGCTTCCCTCGAGGTGGAATAAATATCTATATGCTTACAAAGTCTCTTAACAAAAGCCAGTATGGATAACCTCATTTGAATGTTTTCTATTTTACCCAATGAGGAATAAGAGGTGACTTCATATCAGAGGCATCTGGAGGAAGAGGAATCTCTTGGCTTGACCTTTGCAGCTGTCAGGATGCGTTCAATTTGTGTAAACAAAAAAGGGGCCTTTAAATTGCCTGTTGTTAATTGGTCGGTAAAAGTGGTGCTCAATTTTGGTGGTTAGTGTCTTTGCTTGCTGAGACTTCTCTTCATGTTTATTTCAAGTCTCGAGAGGCAGCTGAATGGTCGCAGTGGTTGATGGTAATGAGAGAAACGCAAGTTTCAGGGAATGTCTGGTGAATGATGACATCGTCTTTGTGTGTGATAATATGCCGTTAAAATAAGGTTCTGACCCATCAAACCACATTTTAGCCACATCTACACCGCGGCTCTGGGGATGGGAGTGTCAGTCGGCCCATAACGCTGTTTCACGTTGAAATATATCAGCACTAATTTGATGGATTGCATGAAACGTCGCAAATATGAATGTGTCACAAAGCCAGGCGTCCTTTTTGTTATAAATAGTTTGTCATGTTGGAAAAATCTTTTTAAAAAAAAAAGAAAATTACAGCTTCGCTCTGAGAGTTAAATGTAATGTAACACACGAGAGGCCCAAAAATGATGCCGTGTTGTGCATGAAAAAAAAAGTTACGCTTTTCTAAGCATGCATTTTCTATCAGTACTGTTGTGGCTCTGTTCATCTGTTGATTGCTGCTGATATGTGTCCAAACTTCTTTAATCTTAAAGTACTTACTTAATAATGACAACTGATTCTAGTTGCACTGTACAGCTGTACTAACTGGTAGATTAAGCCACATGTAGTAATCTCGGTACATACATGTCTTCTTTATGTCTTCCTGTTATTTCAGTGTTATTCATAACTTCTTCTTCTCTTTCTCTCTGTTTTGTCTGATTTTATATTTGTTGTTTTACCCTTTTTTCTCTTTTAATACACGACTTTCCCTGTTTTTAGTATGTTATTTTTATGCACATGAAGCCCTTTGAACCTTTACATTTGCTACTGGCGTAACAAATAAAACTGACTGGACTTGACACAATCTGCTGGGGTGGTCCTAGTTTCACAG